TCAACATTTTAAAATATGCACCATATGTCTTATAGTCTTGTAAAAAAAAATCTCTATTCAATGTAAAAAAAATCTTTGCAGGTATGGTGGCCACTTCATACAAGTAAAATTTTACGCCAATCTTTGGCCATACAGTCCGCTCGTGTTTTAGTCTAAGACTGCAAAAAATTTTATTTTGGTTCCTTCCTGATTCCTGAATCATGCCTGAACTCTGTTTTGTTTCTGAACATACACTTTCCACACCCACCCCAAACAAGAGTTTTGCCAGTTTTTAGCTGGCTGTAGTTAACCTCAGGTAAGTATAGTTAAACAGTGTGGGTGTAGGAGGCACCCATTCAGATAACATATTTATTACTACGTTCATCATGAGCCTAATTTGAAATTTCATCTGGCATTCAGTAATTTGTTCAGATTCATCTTCAGAAACATACCTCCTATTTTTACATTACTGTCTTTCTCATTAGAAACAGGTATAAAATGTACAGATGTTTTCCTACTGCTGAGGTGTCAGCCCCTGAATATGGAGGTTTATGGAAACCTGGCTACGTGTCTTGGGGGTAAGTGAGGACAAAGTTGAAAAATTGTATAAAACAGCAGAATCTAAAGTTCATTGTTGGCACATTCATAACATGTACTGTTTAAACACAGCAACAGTTGTACGCCTGGACCTGCAAAACACTCTTCTGTACGTCATTACATTCATTTGATACTTCGATTAGTACCAAATACTGAGCAAATGTAGAGCTAAAAGCCTGTCTTCTCAGCTTCTGTATTCCCAATAAGTCAAAAACACAAGTTTTACATGCAATTCATTAGTCAGCCTTGAAGACTGATAGAGCAATATATGAAAAACTAATTGGTGGAAATCAGAAGGTGGTCAAAAAGTGCCAGAGAACTCATAATAGCAATGGCAAGACATATATGACAAAAGTCACTGTAGTCACGAAGAGGTTGATTCACTAAAACTGGAGAGTGCAAAATCTGGTGCAGCTGTGGTTGGTAGCCAATCAGCTGCTAACGTCAGCTTGTTCACATAAGCTGTAACAAAAAAAAAAACTAGAAGCTGATTGGCTTCTATGCAGAGCTGCACCAGATTTTGCACTCTCCAGTTTTAGTAAATCAACCCCGAAGAGCAGTGTTTGGAATATGTTTGGATGATATGGTCAGCTATTGGGGCTTTTTAATATATTGTATTATAATAATAATAATATGGTCAGTAGTTATGTTTTGTTAAAAATATGTTTTATGTTATCCAAAAGGTTGATATTCATTCTTTTCATAAAGTAATTTTGTGTTACTAATTATTTGATAGTGATATTACACATATTAAAATTATAATAGTGTTGATTAATATTTGATATCTAATAAAAGTAGAACTCTAGGCCAAACTTGTTTTTAGTTTTGGATAGACTAAGGAATTATTAGAACCTTCATCAGGTGTTTATTGATGTTATTGGGTAGATTTTATTTTGCTTCCTGTTCCAGAGTCACAGCGGGAAGTGAGTGGCAATTTCCACGAAGTCAGGAGAGATCTCAACTTTGACAGTTGCCACCTGGACAGGTATCCCTAGAGATTTCCCTTCACCTATTTTTCTGATAACATTTGTAAGTTTGGAATTTCCCATAGCATACTGGCCTGGTGACACTGGCCTTTGTGACAAATAGTGAGAAAAATCTACAAAGGGGCTACAGACAGCAATATACCTGGCACCTGTGTGCCAGTTGTTTGTTTTGTGGGCTTGATATACAGAAGCAGCTCTATAAGTAGGCAAATTAGGCACTCACAGGAGCCTTGCGGCCACCTTATTTACCTAACTAATGCCAGGGCTTTTTTCTGAGCTTACCTGGAGGCTGGAGAGTGGCCACAAAGTGAGCTGGTGGCTGACGATCAGCGATAGGGTAGGTGATAGGCTCAGGTCGGCATAATAGTTCCAGTGGCAGCACTACACTGTAAGGGAAGGCAGTCTGATATCAACTGCACTCTGCCTCTCCCTGCAGACCGGATATGTCCTTGGCGGCAGTCACACTCGGAAGCTCAGAGCTGTGAGGAAGTCTGGAAGAAGAACAATGCCATAGCCTCTGGATTGGACTGTCTCTTAACTGGTTTGGACTGATTCTTAGTTGGATTGAGCTGTGTCTTAGCTGGACTGGACTGTCTCTTAGATGGCACTGTCTCTTAGCTGGATTGGGCTGTCTCTTAGCTGGGACTCTCTCTTAGCTGGATTGGGCTGTATGCTAGCTGGATTAGGCTGTCTGTTAGCTAGATATATGGGGATGTCTCTTTGCTGAATATAAGGGGAGTCTCTTTGCTAAATATATGGGGCATATCTCTTTGCTGGATATATGGGAAATGTCTCCTTGCTGGATAAATGGGGAATGTCTCCTTGCTGCATATATGGGGCATTTGTCTTTGCTGGATATATGGGGCATGTCTCTTTGCTGGATATATGGGGATGTCTTTTTGCTGGAAACTGTGAATTCTTAGTTCATGGGATTTAAGGCTCTTAATATATGCAATTTATACAGCTAATTTATATCGCTTTAATTATTTTTCCTGTTATGGGCGTGAGTGGGGCCTTATGTCTAAGTTTTGCCTATGTTTTACCTAAGACCTCTCAAAGCATAGAGCCGCCTCTATTGATATAGATTTAAGAGGTGTAATATTTTTCGCCTTAGGTTTATTTATCATGCATGCTATTTGAGTTTAGATTCGTGCTCTACCTTGCTAGGATATTGCTGCATTTAGATTTATTTCCTGATTTATATTTTTCCTCCATCTGCAAATGTCTTAAGTCTTAATGTCCTCTGTTTTGTAATAATAGAGTATGCTGTGCTTTGATAAGAACCAATAAGCGAGGGTCTTATATCATTTTTGAAATTTTGGATTTTTTCATCAGACTGAGTGACCACTGTATAGACTGAATGCAATTTGTTCATAAAAATATTTTTCAGGGCTATTTTGATTAGTTTATTATTATGGTTAAGGCAACTTGCACGCTGGTTCTTTCCAGGGAATGTGGCATATGGTATTTTATGTGGTTTTTATTTGGGGTTAGGGCTTTTTTTTTGGGGTAAAGCCATCAGAATAAAGCTACGAGGGATCTTCAAAAAGTGTTCTCACTTATATATATATATATATATATATATATATTTTTTTTTTTAACAAAAGTGTGGAAACTTTTTGAAGAACCCTCGTACTTTCTGATGTACTGACATTTTTTTACTTTTGTTGGAGCTCCTTTTATAAATATATATACAGACATTTTTTTTCTTTTGTGCTCCCTATATATACATGATCATATTATTAGCAATACATCCTGACAGAGGCTCTAGCTCTTCTATCCAAACCTATCAATGAAATTTTGACTGGAGCTAGACTTTAATAAACTATTTATTATTAGCTTATTATACCATAATGGGTGAAAAAAGAGGTCCCCATATAAAATCAAATGCTAAGTGTATTAAAAAAAAAGTCACAAAATATATATACCAGTCATATCTCAAACAGGATTAATTGTGGCCTCACAATTGTTATTGGTATTGAGCCAGTCATTAGTCACCTGTTCCCATATGTCATAACCACTATGCTCAAAATGTGGGGCACTGGCCAGCATGCCACAGTTGTACTGCAGGATACATATGACATTCTACAACATGAATGCTAATTCTTAAGTGCAATAAACCAAAGTGACCAATTAAACTCTATATTGTGTTGTCTGATTTTAGGGCCTGTTCATACCATCATAGTTTATGTTCTATACAACACATGATCACAGTAAGCTAAAGCACAAGAAAACTGGGAAGTTACCAATAAAATCTAAGAAGCTCTTCAAACAAATGTGTTGCCTTAGCGCAGTATTTCTCAACCTTTTTTCAGGCAAGGCATTCTTTAAAATTATGGAAAATATCAAGGCACCCTTTAAACTTCTACACAATCTCAAGGCACCCCATTCTAAAATGTAAAAAAAAACTATTCTAATAGTTTTACATAATGCAGCAACATTCACATGCGTAGGACACCCAACATTAGGTGATTTCTTCTTCCAAAGCAAATATTCCTTTGCAAACTGGTACTGACTAGTATTCCAGTGTTTCCCCCTTAGTTTTTCTCCCTCACTCAGTTGATGTGACCCCACTGCTAATAAAGAGCGGCGGGGGGCAAACAAGGATGCTGTGCAGGCTCCCGATGTCCTCCTTATCAACTAATGATGTTATTGGTTGTTAGGATGCTGGCAGCTGGCAGGTTGTAAAAGTGTACAATGAAAACCTATGGCTTTGTGTAACTAAAAGGCAGACTTGATCCACCTGTAATTTTTGGGTCATTTTTTAAGCATATTGCCAAGGCACCCCTGAAAAAGCACCCCTGAAAAAGCCTGAAGGTTGAGAAAAGCTGCCTTAGAGGACAGTGTGTTGCTCGCTGCACCTTTTTTGCACTTTGATAAATACACACGGGGGGTACTTACTAAAACTGCATGGTGCAAAATCTAGTGCAGCTCTGCATGGAAAACAAACAGCTTTTATTGTCAAAACTTAACAATATCAAATAATTAGTAACACAAAATGTCTTCATGAAAAAAATGAATGTCCACTATTTGACTTAATTAATACATATTTTTAACAAAACATAACCACTGACCATATCAGCCAAACATACCCCAAACACTACTCTTTGGGGTTGATTTACTAAAATTGGAGAGCTCTGCATAGAAGCCAATCAACTTCCAGGTTTGATTGTCAAAGCTCAATTAGCCCCTTGCCTACAGGGTACTTATACCCCCTTCCTGCCCAGGCCAATTTCCAGCTCTCAGTGCTGTCACACTTTGAATGACAATTGCGTGGTCATGCAACACTGTACCCATATCAATTTTTATCGTTTTTTTTGTGACAGATAGAGCTTTATTTTGGTGGCATTTAATCACCTCTGGTTTTTTTATTTTTTCTTAAACAAACCAAAAACCGCAGAAAATTTTGAAAAAAAAACATCTTTTCTTAGTTTTTGTTATAAAATTTTGAAAAATAAGTGATTTTTCTCCTTCACTGATGTGCGCTAATGAGGCTGCAGTGATGGGTGCTGATAGGATGCACTGATGGACACTGATATGTGGCACTGATGGGCACTGATGAGGAGGCACTGGTAGGTGGCACTGATGGGCATTGACAGGCATCACTGATGGCCACTGAAAGGCAGCACTGATAGGCGGCACTGATAGGCGGCACTGATAGGCACTGATAGGCGGCACTGACTGGCACTGTTAGGCGGCACTGACTGGCACTGTTAGGCGACACTTACTGGCACTGATAGGTGGCACTGACGGCACTGATAGGCGGCACTTATGCACACTGATAGGCATCACTGACTGGCACTGATAGGCGGCACTGACTGGCACTGATAGGTGCACTGATGATCAGTGTACATGTCCCCTCTGCGGAATGCCAATTACTGGCTCTCCTCTCCTCTTGAGCTGTCAGTGTGACAGCTCGAGAGGAGAGAAATGCCGATAACCGGTATTTCTCTGTTTACATGTGATCAGCTGTGATTGATCACATGACCGAGCCGACATCTTCGGCTCTTTCCGTAGATCGGTGATCCGCTGTGTCCAAGGGACACAAAGCACCGCTGATCGCCACGCTGCACGCTCCCTGAGCCGCGCATGCGCGGTTAGAATAGGAGGACGTCATATGATGTCCTCCCAGAACGAGAGAACCACCTTGTGCCCGTCATTGGACTATATGGCAGGCAGGAGGTGATTAAATAAGCTGATGTTAGAAGCTGATTGGCTACTATGCAGAGCTGCTGCACTAGATTCTGAGTGCTCCAGTTTTAATAAATCTCCCCAACATTATCATAGTCAATGCCAGGCATTGAAAATGCACTGAAAATGCGGTGTGTATTTAATTAGTATAATTCTCAAGTTACATGTATATATTTCCGATGTTACTCTAGGAGGAAAACGCATGTAAAATGCAAACAGGATGCAGCATTGCATTAAATTTTATTGCAACACATGCGCTCTTTCCAATGCAATGGTGTAAACTGTCCCGTAACCTCTTCGCGCTGACGCCTCCCGTTCCTTTAAGAGTTTCAGAAGCCGGGAGGTGGGTGGGGTTTTGGGGGCATGTGACCGCTGTGATTCGCTGTCACGGCGGTCACATGATTGGAAAAGGTCCCAATCGCAAAGGGAGATCAGGACCTTTCTGTGAGTCACAGACAAATGTGCTGGGAGCGCGCAGGGCACTCGCTCTCAGCACATATGTATTTTCTAATTGCACGCAAATATGCGGCCGCTCAGCGTCAAGGCCCAGATGCCGAGAGACCGCATATTTGCATGCGCTCGGTGTCAAGGGGTTAAAGTGAATACTAGTTGGTTTCTCGGCGTAGTACATATAGGAAGGAATAAAGGAATGTATAACACTCATAAACGCTAGTACACAAAGGTGGCAGTACCGACAATGCACAAAAAATTCACAATTAATAAATAATGGTGCAAGGGAAATGACAAAACAGGATTTTTGCTAGCACACGATTGGTTGAATGAGCTGAACACAGCTTTGTTGTGTTAACTAAGATCAGTGAACCTTCACTTTTCCAAATCAATAGTCTCTATTCTTCTAGTAAATTCACTCTCATGCTTCCAGAAGGGGACATCGTGTGAAACATTCCTGTGCCACAAGCACCATTATGATCACTTGTGCTGTTCATTGGAAGAGTGTGTGATGGTGTGACAACCCAGGGAAAATTTGGGAAAGAGGGAGAGAACGTTGTCACTCTATTATGGGAAATGCCTGGGTGAAGACCTTCATGACAGGATTTTCAGGTATTAATTTAAGAAAAGCGGCATATTTAAAAATATTGACGATGACTCCTGAAGATACATTCAAAGTTTATGAGATTTTAGTGAATGGGTTTTAAAGTAAACCCTAACAGATAAAAAGTAACAACACCTGACTAATTGGTATTATTTTTCCAAGATTCTGAAGGCTTTGAAGCTCTTGGATCAGCATGACAGCCAAGAAGCTAGTAATTTCAGCAATGGTCAGCAATGGCAGCCTACATATTTCTCTATATAGGTTTCTTTTAAAAACTTTCATCCTTTAAAAACCTCATCTCATCTGTGTACTTCGAAGGAAGTGTATTATTTCCATGATGGCATAACAACCAAGTTAATTTAAAATGAGTCATTACATTGCAATGCAGAGGATTATTAATGTTCAGTGGTCCGATCACAGTGTAAAGAGGTGTTACGGGTTAGGGGGAATGTGGACTGAAATTCTTCTCTCCATGTGCCAGCCACACGCCATGGACTGACAGGGAGCACAGAGCAACTGCAGCAAACAGCACTGAACATTGAATGGCAGCCAAAGACCATCAAAGCACCAGACAAATGTACAAAGACAAAGAGGCTGACTGTCCTAATTCCTCTAAACATCTGCTATCGCTACATCGAAAATAACTGATTGCACAGATAGCATATTTATCCTCTGAGAATCGCAGGCTAAGCTCAGTTTTCTGGTTGATTTCATGGTTCCTTTTATTGGTCGGTTCATTTCTAACTCCTATTTTTTTCCTGTAACAGGAGATGACATATAGCAGCATATATCTCTTGTATTATTAGAGCTGAACTCTGGGATGCTTAAGAAATCTACCCTGTTAGCAGTGCCCGCCACCCCGGCACTACAAGGGTTAAATGCTTGTTAAATATAGGGGGTGCAGGCTCACCTTTTCTTTCCAATGCTCATTGACTACTGAATGTGCATTGTACTTAATGACATCAGCGCAAAACCATTGGCCAGATTGCCTTAGTGAACAGGTTTCGGGGGGGAACAGTGGCAAAGATGGTGTGGGCCTGCTGGGGCAATTAGTAAGATAAGTATTATGCTTTATTCCTCTACCCCATAGACTAAACAAGCTTTTTACTACTGCTACTGGGTGGGGTGTGAACCTGTTGCTTTTCCCTGCAAGGGTAACTGAACTGATGACTGGAAGCCTAAATTGGATTGGTAACTGCACTACTGCCAAAGCAAGGTGGCACACTGTTCCGCAATGATCCCTTGTTGCAGCACTTGCCATGGAGTTTCATCTCCACATAATCCTATTAGCAAGACATGTTCTCTATCGGCTTTATTCATATAGCTACCCTGGCCTAAAAAGGGGCTACTAGTCAAATTTAGTTCTGTTGGGCAGTAGACACCCTAGCTGCTTTTTAGTCTACTTGTTCATTTGGGTTTTCCTCTAAACTCAGTGGAGCTGTGGTTTCTCCCTTCTGCCACTGTTACTGGGAACCTCTGGTATTGGTATGAGAAGCTACAATACAACTAACATATGAATATTCATACTTTCCCTAGCAAATGGTGCATGCTGGGAATAAATATTTGGAGAGGAACAAGTGATCTCTCAATCCCCCCCCCAGGCTTTGGTCTGGGGAAGGTGTGTGAAGAACAGCTGAGTGATTAGGCCTGAAGCCTGAGGCCCATACATGTGCTTGGAGCAGAAGACCTCTGCCTGTCCAGAGAGTCCTGATGCTTGAGACTGTGTGATCTGGGAGCCTGGCTGAGGACAGGAAAGGAATAGATGATGTCTGAGATGAAATACCAGAGGTCATTGTGCCACACGAGGTCCTGGGTGAAGAACTTGCAGAGACCCTGGGAAAGCATCAAGATGGGATCATCGAGACTATTGCTCCTGCCACTGGGAAATATTTGGTTGCTCATGGAGGTGGCTGCTTCTAAGAAGGTACAGATTGCTGGAATCAAATTAAAGGCTCTGTACTGGTTTCTCTTCTTTTTTTGTGCTGTTGAGTCTGCAGACCACAAACGGGTGTTCTGAACGCCCTACCACACTCTCTCTGGAGTTTGAGTGAAAGAAAAAAAAGTCCTTTTTTGTTCTGCTTTCTTAAAGTGACTGTCATCCATCTGTTCACGTCCTAATAATTCCCCAAGTAATCTACACCCTTAGGTGAAATGTATGCTCACCCGTCTCTGAAGGTACCATCATGTTTCCAGAGGTCAGGGGGATGCTACAATCATTGTAGTGCAGTAATGCACAGCCGCTGAATCCACGTACTCCTAAGTGGGCTGCTTGCACGCAGTCCCTGGTGGCTCAAGCCGCATAAACACACAACACTAGATTTACTAAAACTAGTGCACTCAGAATGTGATGCAGCTGTGCACGGTAGCCAATCAGCTTTTAACCCCAGCTTGTTCAATTAAGCTTTGGCAATAAAACCTGGCAGCGGATTGTTTTCTATGCAGAAGTGACCCTGATTTTGCACTCTGCAGCTTTAGTAAAAAAAACCCATGGTCTTTTAGTGGTCTACAGGACTAAGCCCCCCGTGTGAACGAGGCCTACATGGAGAACAACAGATGAGAACATATTGGTGATAAACACAGAATCCAAATACTGTAACTGTAAACTATCATAGCATAACAGTTCTTATCACGTCCTGCCTAATCTGGACAGGCAAACTGAGTGCTGAGTGGCCAGATGTTTCCAATATTGACATAAATTAGCAAAAAGGGCTATATTTGACAGAAATCTGGAACTGATTCGGCCACGCATGCTTATTTCTAGCCAAATATAAAAGATCAAGCAGATTGGCTTAAAGTGACATTACATTTTTGTTGAGAAAATAACAATTCTCTCCAGGTGAACTATGTATGTTGCAAGGATCTTATCAAACTTGTTCCTCTTGTAAAACAACCAACGCTTGCTTACCATGCACATGTAACTGCTAATGCTAAGTGGGGGCCTGTCATTAGTATTACCATTAGAGCAGTATTAGTGCAGTAATATGTGCAGCACTGGCATTACTAAAGGACACACTGAGGTTGATTTACTAAAGGAGAATAGACTGTGCACTTTGCAAAGTGCAGTTGCATTCTGCAAGAGCAGTGCTCCAGAGCTTAATAAATGAGCAGAAGCTCTGCTGACTTACATCATCCAATCATGTGCAAGCAAAAGTGCCTTTTTTTCCAGTTTTCCTCACACGCGATTTTGTATTCCTAGCATAGTAAATCTTTATTTCATTTACAAAGCTTTGGTGCAATTGCACTTGCAGAGTGCACAGTCTATTTTCCTTTAATAAATCAACCCCACTGACAGCATATCACTGAAAGCTAAGCTCATATTGTAGTAAATGCCTGCAATCTGAATTTAAGCTTTTTACAGACTTCTTATGAAAAAGCAGAACAGCAACTACCAGGAAATGAGACTTCCAGGAATTTTGTGAACACATGCGGTGTACAGATTATACCCATATTGCCATGGTTGCAAAACAATTTGCAGCAGCAATTTTTAAAATATATTTTGGTAGGTTGCAAAATCATAGCAGCAAGTTATCTGCAAATAGCTTGAGTGGCCAGACCCAACCATAATATACCCAAATATGTAGAGAGATGTCATTACGTGCCTGAATTTCC